TACCTCGTGATCACACAGGCTGGTGTGCTTCTTCATGTGGGCTTTGTTGCTTCCCTCTTAGATGGCCGCTTGTTTACCTTCAGGCCCTTGAGACCCAGACGCTATATCTTTTGATAGCTGGGCAACATTAACTTTCTCACCACATTTGCTTATGCACCCATTTTGACTTCAGCTATCTGAGTCTGCAAGGTGAGCATCACAAATTGCCAGGTTATTAGAACAAAGTGTTCTTGCATTGAGGGGAGTACTTGAGTAGAGACCCAATCTCTGTACTGTGCTTTTTTATGTCTTGTCACTCTCGATAAGTTAAAAAAACCCACAACATTTGCTATATTATTTTCCAAAGTTTTCAAAGGTTCATTTACATAAAAAAATCTTTAATTTGTCAGGAATTAATTTTTTTAGCACGGTTTCAGGGAGAAGTATGATTTTAGGTTTTTCCATCACCAATATCTTATAATCAATTACTGACTTGCCCCTTCCTTTTCCACTGGTACACAGTGTAACATATCTCATATATTTTGCACTGTTCATTTTGTGTGACTGTTCTCATAGCTTCCTTCATTTGTTGCACACAGTATGTCCTTCAATAGGTCACCAGGCTGAGGGGGTGGGAGGAATCTGAAATCGAAATCCTGTTTGGTACACAATGGTATATGACTATTTTTGCTTGTAAAGAGGGATATATTTTTCTAATTCATATAAAGGCATTGTCAGTTGGGTAAACTATGTGTCTTCGGGGAACTTGTTCCTCCCCTAGGGTAATGATGAACCCTGGTGGCTTAGTGGTTTATGCAATGGGCTACTAACTGTAAGGTCAGCAGTTCAAAACCACCAGCTGCCCTGAGGAAGAACGATAGGTCTTCCACTCCCACAAAAAGTTACAATCTTGGAAACCCTTAGGGGCAGTTCTACCCTGTCCCATAGGGTGACTGTGAGTCAGCAGGGAGTTTGATGGCAGGGGGTTTGAGGGTGTTGAGAAACACAAGCTAGAAGGGGCTCTGAGTCAGTCTACGAGGCATATCTGTAGTCTTTGTTTTCATTCTGTGTTTTATAACAGCGTTTTAACGATTAGGACCATTTGCTTTTGTATTATATGTTTTTCAACCTTCCCCTCTTCTCCACTTTTCCATTTATCTTTTTGCTCCATGTATTTTTTGTTCATGCAGAAAATTGAAATCTTTATTATAAAGTCACATATATCAAATTTCTGTAAGGTTTTTTTCCCTATATGCTGCTAAAACCAAGACTACATAACTATTAATTTGTATTTTCTTCTTAAACTTATTTTGCTTTAATTTCCTAAACCTCTCTGAAATTTATTATGATATTTTCTGAGAATTAGCAGTGTCAGCTTGATTGACTTTTTCTTCCCAAGAAATTATCTGAAATTTCCAGCACTATTTTAGTCCCTATTGAACACAATATTGTGTACCTTGGCCCATAACATCATTTTCAGTCATGGTAACTAGCTGGAGAGTTGATAAATCTTGGTATTTTAGTAAATTAATTAAACATGTTGG